TCGCTCGGAGCTGCTGCCGCCCCTTCCAAGTGCGCCCAAGCTCGATACCCTTTTGGGAAGACGGAATTTCGGCGGCGCCAATGAAAGGGGGCTTGTAAAACCCCGCCGTCCGGTTGGGTAAGTGTGACCTTTCATCTGGTGCCTGTGCCCATCCTAGAGCGAGGTGGGCGGTTCGCGAACATGGCCTCTTCCAGCCGCTTCGGGCGGAAGCTCTAGCGGCGTACCACATGCGTTCCTGGAGAGCACCACTGCCAAGAAATCAAGACTGCGGGAGCTCCGCGTCCATGGTAGTGACAGCGGCCTGCAGGTAATGCTGCCGAGCTTTCCGGGGTTAGGTGGATGAAATACTGTAGCATCCACCCGACCAGGTGAAAGATTGTTATTCCCGTATTTTTTGGTCTTTTTTTTTTTTTTTAAACCCAATCTTGGTGGTCACATCTTTGCTAAACCGTCCATACGACGAACAATGACGTGGCAGAGAGCGATTCAGCTCGCTGCTGATGTGCCTATCGGCGATGCCCTTGTATTGGCGCCTGTCTGTCGCACATACCCCGGGGGATGAGGTGAGGGGTGAATATTGAAGGAAGAGACATCAGAACATCAGACCACCTTCGTCAACCCAATGGCCACGTCAATTGGTCGCTTCAGGTAATGGGTACCGAAATATCTCTCCTGGCGGCGTACTTATGCATGGCCAAGCATGCTGAGCCCAAACCGAGCCCAAGCCATAGTACACAGGGCGATTGGTATTTGAGCGTTTGCGGCATAATGCTAAGGTGGTGAGGGGTCAATTGGGCAAGCTGTGGCACAGGCAGAGCGAGACAATAATGGCTGTACATGCCTTCCATACCTTGCCCCATCGTACCTGCCTACCTCTAGTACCTTGGGGAGGCAGCTGGAACCCACAGGTCACTTCTACTCCATGCCTCGCAATCGTACGAGGCTAGCACTGCACAGGCGCTGCAAGGAGGCCTCACCTTAGACGCACCTGTGCCTCATCACGTAACAGGCGACCGTGATGCTGTCGCTTTCTACGGATGTCATTGCCCATCTTACCTTTCCCATCGTCTTCCGAGACACCCATCCTTGGGATTGCTGCATTACTGGAAACGCCATGATCACTAGTTGCCCCAGCATCCCACCCCACTGGTCTTTCATCTGCATTCCACGATGAGCTCTCGCGCAATACCGTGAATATGGACTTCAGTGGGCACCCAAGATCGCGATGCTCCGTCTGGCTGATGTTGGTGGCGTGCCAACCGAAACCCAAGATGATCTCCGACGGAAACAGAATATTGACTGGGCTTCGTAGTCCCTCCCTGACTCTCCTCGAACAACCTGGCTGTATCACTCGGTAAAACGCGTCTCCCCAGACGACATGATGAACTCATGGAGGAAATGACTGATCGAGAGATACAGCCCGTCACGGCATCATCAGCTCGGCACAGGCGGACCAAACCCGCCCAAGACAACGTACCCTGAATGGCCATGACGCTCCAACAAAAGAAAACAACGCGACCTTGACATGTCGGATTGGCCCTTCTGCACCAAGCACGAAAGAAGCATTCTCCGACCACTTCGTCGGCGCCATCACCGGCCTGAGCAGAGGTCACGACACGCTGTAAACATCCACAATCTCCCCGAGCCGTCCAATACGCACCTTGACGAGGTCTTTCTCCCTGTCGCAATGGCCCGATTGCGCAACGCCCTACGCGCTGCTCCCTGGGCCCAACAAAATACCAACGGGCTGACCAATGTCTCACCTTGACGAGAAAAAAGAAATCCGCACCTTTCAAGACTTTTTGCTGGTACAGTCAGTCCGAACCCGAGTCAGAAAAGATATAGAGCGCTTTGCCTTGATCAACATTGCTTCCGCTGTCGTTGGTGTCTCTGCACGACAGTTTTCACTCTCATCAAACACAAGCCATCCCGTCGTCCACGGCCAGCCGAGGAGAAGACATCTTGACAAGCAGACAAGCAACATAAACCAGGACAACATCAAGAGGAAGACCATGTCATTTAAGAACATCGATCAGACGACAACATCAGACAGTTTTACCTTTCCTGACGGACTACACCACGCGCGCCAGAACTGTTACTCGTGTAGCGCTGAACTTACACGCCAGCTCCCACCAGGCTGATCGACCTTTGTTCACGAGCATACGGAAGCGTCTACAGTTTGGCGATTTCAGTATCAGTTTCCCGGATATCACGAGAAGTGGAAATGGGACGCTCCGGTTACGACACCACTTTCGTACCCACCCCGGGGCCGAAGCGCGACGCTTCCCGAACTACAGGTCCGAGCAGCCAAGCCGATGCCGCACACGCCGCCTCTTCGGGCCAGGGCTTGAAGAGGGAGGCACAGGCCGCGCGCAACAGCAACACGGCAGGTCGTAGCGCGGCCAAGGGCGGGAGAAACGCTTGAGAGATGATTATTCATGATGAGCGAACGAAACTCGAGCCAAGATGTTAGATCTTACATCCTCACTGTTGTTGTTGCTATAGTTGTAAGAGGCCGATTGTCCATCTGACGTGGCACATACTGACGAGAGGTAGGAACGCGTTGTCGATGCGCGTCCAGCAAGGCCTCGCAACAAGTGCAGCGACATCAATGCCAGCAAGGTGCAGTGCCGGCCACCGCCGCGGCTTTCACGGAGGACAACAGACTCTAGAACCCCACAGTAGTGTTGTCCCGGAGCCGTCGAAGGCGGCGTGGTGGAGCATCGTGACCACCGCACGGAAGCTAGTCGGCAATCCGGAGGCGGCGGTCCAGGTCACAGGCCCAGACAGGCAGGGGTGCTCCCTAGCGCCATGACAAATTGGCTTTGGGAGTGAAATTGCGACCAGCATGGGGCCGAAGTCGTACAGAAGAACGGGGCTACCGTCAGTGCATCAATGGGATGATCTGATGATGACTGACCTGCTCTGATCTTAGCTTCGGCTGTCCTAGATCCGAACTGAGACATTGGGTGCCAGGACACGGAGGCTGGACAGTCAGCGGCGTGGGCAGTCGTCGTCGGGACTAGGGACTCGCCCTTCATCGTATTCTTGGGTTCAAGCTAGACGTTCAACAGACTTCTTCGTCGCATCATTGCTTGCCGCTGTTTCCGTGTCGGTGAGGGTGCTTTGAACCAAAGCGACGTGCACAGAAAGTTTGTGGTTGACCCATCCCCGGACCTCTCTCATCCACCGGTCATGACCTTTCACAACGTCCTGATTGGCTTCTGTACTGGAGGTAGGGAGGAAGGCAGGCTGCCGAATACACCCCTACCTGCATGGGAGGCATGTCCGACAATCCATCTCGCCTGAATTCGGTTCTGGAAGGATACCAAGTACCTCAAAATGGAGCCAGAATTCGCAGCTCTGCACATCATTCAATGACAGTGCGGATTCCCTGGTACAGCAGCTGCATCTCTAGTTGGGTTGGTTTGCCAGGTGGCTCGTCCGTTTGTGGCTTCTTTATTCTGGCAAAGCATAAAACGCACCGCCAGACCTAGCAGATTGTTTTTTTTTTTTTTTCAATTTTTTGCTTTCTTTTTTGATCCTTGTCTCCTTTTGAAGCTAAGGCTGCCGTCAAAGAGCACCTAATGTACCAATACTCGCGAGCCTTGACATGTTCTCTGGACTTGTCCTTCTCGCGGTAGGTAAGGGTAATATGGACTACCTACTCTAGGTAGGTATCTTTTGGCAGGCTAATAGAGCCGGATCTTGACAATCCCTGGAACTAAAACAGGCTCTGTGCATGGGACCCTCGCGGGTCAGTGCGCGCAGGGGGTCGCTACGCACGCTACAGTTTGACTCCAGCGCGTTCACCCTATTCGGGGTGCCAGCAGCGGGGCGCGGTGCGGGAGCTTGGACCGCCGAGGGGGTCCACGATGTCACTTGTCCGGCACTCCACGCGGCATAGGCAAGGTGGCTCAGCACCAAAAAAGAACAAAGGCCAAACCTAGATCTGCCGGTTGTGTGTACGCGCGCGCACCAGCTCGGTTGCTGCTTCATTTCTCACCCTACTAACGGCCACGATATCTCCTCTAGCTTCTTCATCTGCTTCTTCTTTCTTAGACTGTTCTTGACACCCTGTCTAATCTACCTTCGTCGTCGCTCTTTGCCACCCTCTTCGACCCGCCGACCTCTGGTTTCCTAACGCCTCGAGATCCCAATCGCGGCTGGTCCCCGATCATGGCTTCATCTTCGCCCATAGACCCGGCCACGCGTAAGAGGGTACTCAAGGTCATTGCCGTGTCGCTTCTCCTCGATCTGGTATGTCTCGTTGGGACACAACGTGGCGCCGCGTGGGCAAGTAATGTGGCTGACCATCTGTCTAGATCTCCTTCACCTTCATCCTGCCTCTTTTTCCGAAATTGCTCGAGTTCTACCGCGATCGCGAGGCGCCTTCCACCATATCCGGCAACCCACAGACGCTCCTACAGAATGTCATTACCTACTTGAACAAATATAAGGCGTCCTTCTCGCGCCCTATCGACTCTCGCTACGACATTGTCCTGCTCGGCGGTGCCCTGGGCAGCCTCTTCTCGTGCGACCGCCCTCTTCTTCCTCCTCCTCCTACCCCGCCATCAGCACGTAGTGACCATTGGCTAATCATCGACCTCTATTTCGTAGACTCTTGCAAGCCGTCGCATCTCCCATCATTGGCCACCTCTCCGACCGCCATGGCCGCCGGACCGCCCTGCTCGCGTCCATGATGGGCAACATAGTTTCTGTCCTTCTCTGGGTGTGCGCGGTGGACTTTCGCACGTTTGTCGCCTCGCGCGTCGTCGGCGGCCTGTCCGAGGGCAACGTCCAGCTCGCGACGGCCATGGCGACCGACATTTCGGATGACGCTTCGCGAGGCTCGACCATGGCGCTTATCGGCGCGTGCTTTAGCATCGCCTTCACCTTTGGGCCCCGGGCCTCGGGCGCCCTGGCTCAGCACCATCTCCACCGTCCGCGAAAAACCCCTTGCCACCGCCGCCGGCGTGAGCCTCGCGGCTCATCGTCACGGAGACGGTCTACCTCTACTTCTGCCTGCCCGAAACCCTTCCTGCACTTACCGGGCTTGGCAAGCCGGGCAGGGGAAAAAGAAAGAAAAAATCGAGCGACGAAGTGCAGGTTGAACCCCAGCCCCAAGGGGCCAAAACGACAAAAAACGACCCC